GAGCCCTTTCCTCTCATGGAACCTATTCTCTGAGCACTCACTTGAATCCATTAGAGCCATTTGTGTGACCTGCTATTATGAGAGCCTTTGGCTTGAAATTATTCTTCAAGTCGGGGGGAGGGTGTAGCTCAGTGGTAGCGTGCATGCTTGGTAGGCACGAGGTCCTGGGTTCAATCCCCAGCACCTCCATTAAATACATAAAATAAAATAAAACAAATTATTCTTCAATTGCCAGTTGTGTCCTAAAGTCAAGATAAGGCGAAGGGACCTACATGATCTGGAACGGGTCCCAACAAATGCGTCAAAGATGAGAGAAACACACAAACTGAGTGAGATTTAAGGTTTAGGTGAGGGAAGAGTCAGATAAAGATTAAGCGAGTAGAAAGTTTCCTTTGGGCTCCACTGATATTACTGAAAAAAGACCACAGGTTCATAATTCAAAACCAAGGTGCTACTGTTAAGAGCTGCAGCGCAGGAAGGAGTGAGGGGCCAGGCACTGCTCCAGGCCACTTCTTTAACAGACTTTCTTCCAGACCTAATTATATCCTATTATTTGCCTAGTGTTTAGCAGGAAGTAAGAGCCTCATGGCGCTCAGGTGGTGAAGACGAGAAATCGCAGCAGTCAACAGGGCCGTGAGCAAGACGAAATTCAGGGAGAGGCTTGTCGTGGAAACTCAGGAAGCAGAGTATTTTAAGAAAGAAGGAGAGGTCAGCTGTAGCAAGTGCGGCCCAGAATCAAGTGAACCGAGGAGAGAAAAGCGCTTACTGAATTCAGCAACCTGTATGTCACCGGTGACCTTAACAAGACTTGGTTTAGTGGAAAGCTGAGCCTGGAAAGCAGATTAGAAGGGCAGAGGGGTACGTGGCAGGAGTGGAGACAGTTGTGTGGATGAGGAGAAGTAAAGACATGGGGAAGAGGAAGAGATGAAGGGTTGGTCTGGTTTGGTTTCCGTATTGCTTGGAGAGACTTAAAGTGGCCTTAAAGGCAGCAATTCAGTTGGGAGGAAGGAGTTGGATACGTAGGAGAAAGAGAAGAGATTAAGCACTAGGGCGTGGCCCCTCAACAGGCCGGCACTCATGGGACCAAGGCGGAGCCATCAGGGTTGGCTCTGGATTTGAGGAGGGGCAGGTCTAGGCTCTGATCATTAACTCTTTTTTGTTGTTGTTTTCTTCGGTTTGATTTTTTTGTTTGTTTTTGGTTTGGGGTTTTGGTTTTGTTCCTTACTGAAGTCTAGTCAGTTTACAATGTTGTGTCAGTTTCTGGTGGACGGCATAGGAGTTCAGTCATTCATTTCCATCCATATATTCATTTCCATATTCTTTTTCATTATAAGTTACTACAACATATTGAATATAGTTCCCTGTGCTACACAGCAGAAACGTGTTTATCTATTTTGTATGTTAGTGGTTAGTATCAGTGAGAAGAGGTCAATAATTCCATTCTCAGCTGGGACCTGCTTCTCTCTTCCCGAAACGCCAGCAGCACAGTCAGGGTTTATCCCTAGGGGGCTTTCTCTGATCTGAGATGGGGACTACATTCTTCTCTCAGTGATGAGAAACGTGAAACTCCACCTGCTGCCAGATAGAAAGGCAATCGTGAGACCGCCCTGCAAGCGTGCAGCACATTCACTATGCATGGTGTGTCCCTAACCAGCAGTGACAGCCTGTGCTTATGTTCCCGACGTATCCTCACCCTGGGAGCAGGAGGCTGAGTTGCTTATTAAT